TGTAGCTCAGTAGTTAGGGTGCTGGCCACATACACTAGGGCTGGCAGGTTCAAATCCAGGCTAGGCTTGCTAAACAATGACAATTACAACAAAAAAATAGCCTGGCCTTGTGGCCAGCGCCTGTAGTCCCAGCTACTTAGGAGACTGAGGCAAGAGAATCTCTTGAGCCCAAGAGTTTGAGGTTACTGTGAGCTATGATTGCACAGCACTCTACTGGGGGCGACATAATAAAGACTCTGCCTCAAAAATAAAATAAAATAAAATAGTTGTTTATTTTAAATTGTACATGAACTTTATGGACACCCTGCATTTTGGTACATCTGAGAGTATCAGAAATTTTTCCTTTTTAAAAAAATTCAGGGTACAAATGATTAGGTTACATTGTTTGTGTTTCTAAGGTAAAGTTCAAGTTGTAGTTGAGCCCTTCATCCAGGCAGTATGCTGTAGAAATTTTTCCTTTTAATGACTCGAAATCTTTCTCCTACCTCTCACTCCCTCAGTCATTCAGACTTAAAAGAATAAGGCCAATCCTGGTCTCAAATGACATTTGTATATATTAAAGATAGCTATGACATCAGCAACTGAATCTTTTTGCTAGGCTAAAATATCTCTAGTGACCAGGTGCGATGGCTCATGCCTATAATCCTAGCACTCTAGGAGCCTGAGACAGGTGAATTGCTGGAGGTCAAGCGTTCAACACCAGCCTGAGCAAGAGCGAGACCCTGTCTCTAAAAACTAGCTGGGCATTGTGGTGGGCACCTGTATCCCCAGCTACTCAGAAAACTGATATAAGAGGATCATTTAAGCCCAGGAGTTTGAGGTTGCTGTGAGCTGTGATGCCATCATACTCTACCACCAAGGACAATATAGTGACCCTATCTCAAAAATAAATAAGTAAATAAATAAAATCTCTAGTCTTTTTCAATCATTCCTTACAGCCTATGATTTAAAGTCCATTCCCTATCTTAACCATAACCTCTCTGGACAAATTCCAAGTAACAGTGGAATTACTATTTGATATGCTTGTTAGTAACCAGTAATAGTGGAATAGTGGAGTAATAGTGGAATAGTTGCCCTCATTAAAGTGGCAACCAGAACTAAACGCAATACTTCAGGTGTGGTTTAATCAACTAGCAAAGCCTTCCACATATCTCACAGTATTAGCCCAGCATAGGTAACATTAATTTTACTGTCACCCAACTTTCAAACA